CTACTCTGCCCTCCCTCCCAGGCAAGAAACACCTGCCTCGAACTGTTAAGTGAGCAACAACACGCTTCCATTGTCCGAATCTTTATACATCTGGGGGTCTATTTATTAAGGCAAGCTGGCCTATACTAACGTACTTAGAAATTCACATAATGGCACAAAAGCATTCTTCTGTCTTGGACTAGAATCTCAGTTATTGGAATTAAAATCTCATTTTCTTTTCTTTGTATATAATCTCAGAAACTAATAAATATTTTAACACAATTATCCAGAAGACTTTTCTTTTGACAAATATATATAATTTGTATTTAAAGCATTATCATATTTGTTTTTTTCTTAAAATAACAATTTATTAAAATCTATTTGAAGATATTTAAATTTTTAAAAAATTATTTAGCCCATTTAAGGTGATAAATTGAATGTATTTACCCATACCTTTTGATACACACTATTAAAATTTTCTACATTTCTGATAAGTCTTCAGGTTTTTAATATGGTTATTTTTACATGGAGTGCTTTCTGCACTGTGAAAGAGCTTAATACTTAGGACTGAGTCCATATGAACTTTTTATCATTTCTCTGTAAAACACAGAAACTCTCTGCACATTTTTCATAAAACTTAAAGGATAAAATTATTTGATGGCTAAAGACTGAGCCATATTGATGACGGGTGACAGTAGGATATATACAAAATAGATCAATAACATAGCAAGGTCATTTCTAATAAAGCAAACCCAGAACTAAACATCCAGACAAGTACTATTCCCTACAAAATAGTCACTTGGGGAGGCTTATGATGAAAACAATTCTTGCACTCTTCTTTCGAGGAAATTCAGTACTTTATAGTTATGCCTTCATATGACACACTCACATACACACAAGCATGCATGCACACACACACACACACACACACACACACACACACACACACACACACTCAATTCCCAAAGGATATTACCTAGCTTACGAGCAAGCCACTATATTAATCAGACATATTATATATTTTAATTATTATTTTTCCATTTTGGTATGAATTTACCAATAAGCGAGAAAATAAAGACACATACATCCAAACAGAACAAATCGATTATTTTCCTTCTCAAGGTCCTTTTCCCCTTGGTGATTCAGTGCTATACTTCATATTTTCAGAGCTCTTTCATTATACTCTTCCCAAGAATACTGAGTTAACTTTTAATTAGAGAACTTCTGCAGTTGCTGGAAACACAGATCCACAAATCAATTTATCATACATGTTTGGTTAAATGAAAATAATACAAAAACATCTTTATGTCTCACCTCCCATCAAACCTGTGCTTCAGGAAATCAAAGAGGGCTTTCTGCATCATGTCTGTTACCTTTGCAGAGGTGAGAAAAAAAGAATGAGGCAAACACACGCAGAGAGAGAAAGAAGTCACAGTGAGAGAGTGGGAGAGAGGGCACTATGACAGGTGCAGACCTTGCCACAGCCAGTCATCTCCTGCGGGGAACGTGCCCTGGAGGCATTTTCTTGTGCTTAGCTGTGTGTAATTGCTAATTCTTCCCCCTAGGTTCTCCTCCAGGGTATTGAGGAATGAAATAGCATCATTCACACCAGACCCAAGACAAACCCTTTTCCTTTATTAGGGACTAGAGCTGCTTCCAGGAGACAATAGGCTGGCTTTATACTCAGGTGCTGGCCATTCTTGGTTTGCCTGTGCCTCATTGTGCCTGCCTCCAGAGAGAAGCAGCTAGAGGCCCCCAGGCCGGCTCTGGGCTCAGCCATCCTCCTAGCCTGTGCATGTTAGTGGAAATCCTCCATGCCCAGACCACTGCAAAAATCCAGACCACTTTCCTGCTCATCCCTCTGACATTTCCAACTCAGAGAAAGACAGAGAGAGGAGGTGGGGGTGGCAGGATAAAGGCAGAGAGAGAGAGAGAGAGAGAAGGAGGGAGGGAGGGAGGGAGAGGAGAGGAGAGACAGAGAAAGGTGGAATTCTTAGATCTGTTTCAAAGAGATTCATTAGTTCATTCAACAAATGTGTACTGAGTACCTACTATGTGCCAGACATTGTCCTTGCTCAGTGGGAATGGTGCTCTGGAGGTTGCCCACATTCAGATTTTCATGTCGCATCTCACTTATTTTTATCCACACTAGCACAAAGTCAAAATGGCAACATCTGAAATGTGGTACATCTAAGTCTCTACTGTTTTCTTCATTACATGGTATTTAATTCATCTCCAAAGTTCGCTAATATTGTTAGAGTGTGTATGTGGTTTTTTTTAATGTATGAGTATGTTCTTTAAAATAAATAAGCAGAGAAACATTTGGTAGAATATACCATCATGTTCAGCCCCCAGCAGGATGGATTTGTTGGTGCTTTGGGGTTTAGTTGGCTGGAAGATTGCTTATATGCTCCCTTGTGCTGTCCATTTGCTATTATTTCTAATAGTAATGGGAATGGTTGAGACAAAGTCCTTTTCTTTGAATTTAATGTAGAACAAATCTTTGCCCAGAATTTCCCATTGTACATGTTTTGAGGGAGGTATTTCTAAACAACATAATACATAAAAGATGAGAAGTGTGTAAGAGAGAAGAGAAAGAAAGGACAGAGGGCCACACGAGCTCCACGTTGTACCCCTGCCTCCACACACTGGGAGCTGGCTTCCTTCAGCACCTATGTGTAAACAGATCCTGGAGGAGACCGGAAAGATGGTCTCCTGGGCTCTCGATCAAGAACCGGAAGAGTAACATGATATTTGTACCTCGTAACCTTTCAGTGACGGCCCCACTAACACCACTGGGCGCATGGATGGCACGACATCGTAAGGAGGAATGTGCTCCGTCTGAAAAAGATGATTCGACACGTGTGACAAGGGGAGGTGGAGCCCACCTCCTCAACAGCCACGACATTCACAACTCTTGCATCAAACATTGCATGGTCACCACACGTCCCCACCGAGGAGGCTCAGCCCTTATTTTATAGCCACTTGGGTCACTGAAATGGAGCATTGCAGGCATGTAGGTAGAGGAACCTTAACAGTAGATTTAAAAAGGAAACACAACTTACCACTTTTTGCTTCTGTTTTGCTAAAAGACAACAATGAGAGCCATATCAAAATATGTAATGTCTGTCAATGGCAGCACATGAGTTTAAAAGAAGGAAGAATGATCCCATTTGTCCCTGTAATTTCCCTCCTCATGTCACTATCACCCCCTCTGCAGAGCACCGCTGTTACTGCATTCCGGACATGCTGATCTGAAAGGCATGAAAAGCAGACAACTTCCTCCCTGCTTTTTCGGTGTCCTCCCTTCCTTCCTGATTTCATGTTGGGTGGGGGTGGTGAAAGGGAGTTCACAGCCACATTGGAAGCTCCGAGCCAGCCATTAACCATGGGTGGTTCCCTGCTGGACATAGCACACAGTGTGGCTGAGAACAAGTTGGACATATATAACTTAATAAAAAGAAACAGAATAACAATTTTTTTTTGCATTTGTGACTTTAGTGACATAAGATAATTTTGCAGTCCTTTAGGTGTTTTTATGTCTTTTTGCTCATTTTCTACAATATTGACATATTTTTTCCTACTATGTTGCTTTTAAATTTCAAATAAGTTTACAACCAGTTATTCCTGTTTGTGAGAGTGAAAAGCTAAAATGTCCTGAATGTCCAGCAAATGGGAATGAGGCAAAATATAGTCAATATCTGATTAAAGTGGTTTGTGGCCATCCAAGCAGGTCCAGTCTATCTGGGGGCAACCCAGAGACCTAGTTTGGTTCAATGCTCTGGAGATCAGGTGGGATTCACATGAACAAGGACCCAGATCCTCAGAACAGTTCCAGAGCCAACCCAGTTTCTTGTAGTTACGGCAGGCCAGCATAAAGCCTTGAACTTTCCATTCTGAATTGGTAATACTGGGTGCCTCATCGCAGTATCAGTTCTAGGCCAGAATGAGAAATTAGCCTATAGGAGTCAGGGAATATGGTGAAAGAAAAATTCCTGTGTGAATACCTACATAATTTCCAAATGCACTAGTTTCTATTAGGCCACCACTGTCCCTCCATTGCCATTAATTCCAAGGCTCAGTTGTCTGCTGTCCAAATAGAAACAAGGTCCTCTGGGCCCAGCTTCACTCTCTGCTTCAACCCCCCCCAATCTCCATACCCCAGGCTGTACCAACACATCCTAAAGTTTCACATGGAGACTGAGGCAGCACTTTTTGGAGAGTCTACAACTTTTTTTTTTCTTTTTGGTTGGCCTTCACTTTCTTTAAAGTCTGTTGAGTTCTCAAGTAGAGTAATGAACTTGTTTCAGATTGGTTTACACCATGGATAGTTACTGATTCTAGAGAGTAAATGAGAGTTTTTGAAATTATATTATAATGATCTGAATTTTTAGTACCATTAGTACCCTTTAAATCAAATCAAATTACCTTAGAAAGCAAAGAAGCAATAAAATATTAAATAGAAGAACCTTGAAATCAAGCCTTTAAATTGTTTACAAATTAGTAAAAACACTTGCATGTGTGTTCAAATATTAAGATAGGAACACATTCCATTGAGAGTTTAACTAAAACCCTCACCTGTTGATGTGGGAGTTGCTCGAAATGTCCCTGATACCATTTCTCCAAGACTTGAAGAAGAATTTCCACTTGATTTCCTAGGATATAGAAAAGGAACTTAAGACTTACTCCCCAAACTCTTTGCAAATAGAACTTAAGAGTACAAAGCTTTCTTTGGCCTTGATCCTACTAAATAATTCAAAACACACCCAATCCCGCTATAGAGAAGAACTTCAGGAATTTGTCCAAATGTTTTCTTTGACCTCATTTCTCAGAGAAAGTGGGTAACTAACTGGGACCTTGAGATACTTTGCAAAAGTATCTCTTCTAGTGATTCAATGCAGAAATTAGACAAAAGAATCACTGACAGGAATGTTCTTCTGAACAGCTTGCTTATGTAACACCAGTCACCATGTACCCATCAGATGTCAAACATAGCTCGAATAATTAGTTGTGACACAAAACAGAAGATCATCAACACTGGTCTTCTCACATGTGCTTTGGAAGCTTCTTTGGAAATCACCAAGACCATAGGGAGCCCCACATTCCTACTTCCCCAGTGTCCCACCCTTTCAAGTGTCCATCAGATTGAGAGTATGATCCCATTGTCATAAAAATCTTATTTGTCATCCTGGGCTTCCCACTTACTAGGTGTGGGACTTTGGCACATCATATCAACTCTCTGAGCTTTAGTTTCCCCACCTATAGAAGTAGAAGCTACACCTCACTGGGTTAATAAAAAGATAAAATGAGATCATGTCTGTGAATTCTTGGCTTTACTATTGCACCTGCCACTAAGTAAGCTTTTAAAATGTGTATATATATATATACATATATATATACACACACACACACACACACACATACACACATGTATATATAAATAATATTATGGAATAATAATAATAACAATAAAATTTTGGGAATAATAATAATTCATTAATTATTTTATTCAACACAGTGGTTGTGTATCCCTGTTCTAGAAGCTAGGAATACCATGTGGGGGAATAAGGGAAGACAGAATCCCTTCTCTTATTGAGTCACATTCTAGAGGGAGATATTAGCACCAAACAAAATAAGTAGGTAAATATGTAGTATTTCTGAGAGTGGTTAAGTGCAACAGAGAAAAACAAAGTCAAGGAAAAGATAGAAAGTACAAGGAAGGGGAATGGGTCCAATTTTAAGTAGGGTCAGCAGGAAAAGGGTCACTGAAAAGGTGATATTTAACAAAGATCTAATGCAGTTGAAGGAGTGATCTGGTGAAAATGTGAAGGAAAGGATTCTGATAAGAGCACACAGCAAATGCAAAGGTCCTGAGGAATGAACGTGTGTTCCCAGTATGTGCATGGAAGACAAAAATTCTAGAGGAGAGGGAATAAGAGAGACTCATAATAATAGTATGGCTATGTTATATACTAAAAAAGGCTGATAATTAAAAGTGGGGCTAACTGTACTTTTGTGAGCCCCTGTTACTGTTGAAGAGGTTTCCATTATGACAAAGTCAAAAGGGCCCCTAAGAAACAGAGGAGTTTCTGAAATAGAAAAGGGTCCAACAGAAAACAGAGGTTGAGGGTCAAGAGAAAGAACTGTTTCTACTCTAGGGCTTTCAAAAAATTTTAACACATGTCAATGATTTGCATTTCCCTTCTCTCAAGCTCTGCTTTAAGTACCTGCACTCTGAGATCTATGTGGCTACTTCATTAGTTCACTAGAGGTTGATTCATCCAAAGCTAGAGACAGTGTCTTTACCCAATACCAGGAGATGGTAGATGCAACAAAAAGCCCAGGGTGGAAAAGGTGCTACTAGTACTGGGACCTGCATGCACCATCATATTCTGTGCCCACTTGAGAGAGAGTCTCTGCAAATGAACCAAGAGGAGCCATAATGCCGGGTCAGATCAGCTCCTACTTGCTGTACTGAGAAAGGATGCCCTGTGTGACTCTCTTAGAGGAAAGCTTCTTTGCTGAGGCCACAGAAAACAGTCTCCACTGTGGAATTCATGTGGATTCCAGTGGTATTGGGCTTTATTCAGCATGCAGTGGGGATAGTGAACTATCTGAAACCCTTCTGTGTCGATTTCAAAAACACTTCATCAGAGAAAAGTATCTTCTACTTTGAAAGCATACATTTTTAACCTAATAAGCAAACTTGAAAATATCACCTAACTTTCCTACCAAAAGGCTTATAACAAGAAAGGAACCTTACCCTCCGTGAAAACGTCCTCTTTTTTGTTCTTGCTGAATCCGTATGTTCTCCAATCTGAGTGGACTTGGGATGAAGCCAATTTCACAGCCCTCTTTCACCAGCCTTCCTATCCACCAATCATTGTTATACTTCTGGAATGCAAAAATAAAACTGCTATCAATAGTAATTCACTTATCTTCATATTCCATTAATTAATTTCAGAGGAAACACTATTTACATGATATCTTACACTATATTATATGATATATATTATATATAAACACTATTTATATTATACTTTACTATATTTATATCTGGGGCTGGTGTGATTCATAGACTTTTGAACCCCAGGGGGGTTCTACAGACTTTTTCTGTAAAGGCCCTGATAGTAAATATTTTAGGCTTTGCAAGCCATATTGTCTCTGCTGCAACTACTTCAGTCTGCTCTTCTAGCATGAAAGCAGCCACAGACAAACATAATCAAGTAAGCATGGCTGTGTTTCAAAAAAACTTTTCTTTGGGCCAGCCCGTGGCTCACTTGGGAGAGTGTGGTGCTGATAACACCAAGGCCACGGGTTCGGATCCCATATAGGGATGGCCGGTTAGCTCACTGGGTGAGCGTGGTGCTGACAACACCAAGTCAAGGGTTTAGATCCCTTTACCGGTCATCTTTAAAAAAAAAAAAACTTTTCTTTGCGAAAAAGGCGATGGGCCAGACTTGACCTGTGGGCTATAGTTTGCCAACCACTGGACTAAAGTCAGATCCAAACCGCTGGATTCCTTTGATTCTTCATCAAGACGCCCTAGCCAATTCTTTAGGGATAGATTTTATAAGGATAAATATGCATTAATGTAACTGGAACTCTGGAAGTCAAGACAGATACGTCTGAGATGAATATGTTCAACAGTCTGTTATTTGTCAAAAGTTTACAGTTAAAAACTTCCACAATACTGTCTGTAGTCTACTGACACTGGGGAAGACTCACAATCTTTCAAATACAGGTTTGCAAATTAAGGTCTATCTTACTACTTGAAGAAAAAGAAGGCTACTCTTACAAAGTCTAAACATATTATACATTCGTATGTGGAATTTCGGCAATAATCTCTAAACGGCCCTGCAGCCCAAGAGGAACTCCAAGATTTCCACTTAAATAAAGCTCCATGACTTGTACACATAGAACATAAATCCTTACAATGCCTTCAACCAATTTGGAGTGAGATTCTGTCAATGTGGACTTATTTGATGGGTTGGCAAAATTGCATCTGTAATCATAGATTTACTGAATCCTAAGGAAGAAAGCAATTTAGTCCAAGCCACCTGCCTAGCTGAAGTTAGGTCATTTCCAGAAAATAGGTATCAGTCCTACTGTTTTAAACTTTCCAGAGATGATTTCACAGACTTCCTTTACTGTGTTTATCAGTGCTGGTCAAGATAACTCTGTCTCTTTGATCTTATATATATATATATATATATACACACATATCTGTAACAGCTATATATAGTACGTTTTGCTTAGCTCAGAGAAAAGTGAAATTTATATGTATATGATACTGACACATTGTGAAGGAGGAATGGATGATTTCATTGAATCAAGACTGCATGAAATTCTGAGTAACTTTGAGTAATTGTGAGTAACAGCCTCACACTCAAAAGAAAAATGGTACAGTAGGGATTTGGCCTTTATTATGCACACAGCTCCTCCACAGGCATGCATGGCATGTAGTATGACACTGCACTGAAAGAAATGAGTTGACCTAACATAAAATCTTGAACAATCTAGGTCTTAGTTTCCCCCATCTTCTCATCTTTATTTCAGGATAACAGGCCTGTCTATTTTGGAATTAACAAAAGGCTAGGGGACCCTTTTAGAGTCTTTGGTGCATAGGTCTGGAATTTAAATTTTACTGTGGTGGGGACAAAATAGACCATGAGTCATAGTTTCCTAGAGCTTAAATTATTTCCTGAAATGAAGTTAGCCCACTGGAACACTAATTTGTTAAAAGGTTCCCAAGTGACCTTAAAGGGCTTGCTAAAATGGTTAATACAACTTCCCAAAATGTTTTAACTTAGTTCTAGGGAATAGCTAAAGCACAGTGAGAATCTCACTCAACATGAATAAAAGTTCTTTGAGCTACTTGGAAGAAAGTTGCTTTGTAAATTCAAGAGCTTTATTCGCTCATCATCTGGCTTACATGATGAGCAAAGCTGCAGCTTTTCTCTGTGTTTAAGCATTTTCATTACTGTGAAAGTACTTAAAACAGTGTACAATACATGGCCGTGTAAGTAATGGATGAGAGAAAAGGCTGCAACTTGATTACAGAAATGTGTTCTTTTGTGTTGATATGGGAGCTTGTGCCAGCTTTCTGGAAAGGTCACTTCAGTGTTGTCCCAACTCTTCTCATTTTGATTTCCCTAAAATGATTAGCACTTTCTCTTTCTAAGATGTTTTCTTATCTGATATTTCAAGATCTGAAAACAACCAGCTCTGGTCCACATAGAATTACCAGCTCAATACCATACATCAGACTGCTAGACTGAAGAGAAAGTCACTGATCACTGCTCACATAGACCAAAAAGCAGAAAACAGGACAAACTGAGAGAATATCAATAGAATGCAGGAAAGCAATAAAATCCAACAAGGCTGGAATGTTTGTGTGAGTGAGAGTGCATGTAACAAGTGGGAACTTCTCTTACCTTTTAAAGTTCTACTTCTCCTTGAAAATAATAGGTGTTTGCAACTCATGAATATGGCTTGGCCATTTTTGATGGGAATGGTGAGACAAAATGATGCCGGTCAGTGTACCGCCTGGTCAGTCAGCCTCCTTGACAGCATGGTCTGCACATGCCAAATACACTTCCTAGCTCCCCTTCTCTCCTCATCCCCCTCCCTTTGGTTTCCATCTCCACAGTTCCACAAACAATGATCCCAATGATCTCCATGCTACTGATCTGGACTGCAGAAGGCAGTTTCAAAGACAATGATTTTCAAAATTGATTATATATTTACCACGCACATCTCATTTTGGACTGGGGGGTACATGCAGGTGGGCTCAGTGACATCAGATGATACATTTATGCTGTTCCATTCTTCAGGCACCTCCATTCTCAGGTTTCACTTTATCATGTTTCTTTTATGCTCTTCTTTTTTTTTAAGATTCTATTTCCAACCCCTCCCTCCTAGCAGAGTAAAAGGAGACTATCAAGTGGCGACATCTTCCAAGAATGCTCCCAACACCATCAGAAAACTCTGTGCAGAACAAGGAAGTGCAAGGAAGGTAAGCCTTTCCTCCTGACTCAATCCAATTCCTGTGCCGATCTCCAGATGTAGTCTCCTCCCCTTAGCTCCAGCCCCTCACTCAATCAGCCATCCTTTTTCCTTCACATCTATTTCACTGGGTTCAGCACCTCAGCATGGAAACCATGCTTAAATCTTTCCCATCCTAAAAAGCAAAAATGTAAATCAAATTTTAAAAACGTTCTCTCAGCCCTATGCTGTCTTCCCCTGGCTAGAACCTGTTCTTTGCAACTCAAGGCATTTAGAAAAAGCAAATTGGTTTTATTTGTTGGTTGGTTTGTTTTGGGGTAAGCTGGCCCACATAGGGATCTGAACACTTGGCCTTGGTGTTATAACACCAGGCTCTAACCAACTGAGCTAATCAGCCAGCCAGAAAGAGCAAACTGTAATTCCTCTTCTCTGGCCTCCAGATTATGTGGGATAGGGCCTTTTAAGCATCTTCATGGATAGTTTCACAACTCCCCAGACACAGTGTACCTAAAAGTAAGTTCATAACCACACCTACCCCTGTAACAAACCTGCTCCCCTCTCTGCCACCTCTGTTTTAATAGCTGACACCATCTCCTATCCTCTCAAGCAAGCCAGAAAAAGTGGTCTCCATCATTGATTTCTCCCTACCTCACTTTCCCCACTGTCCCCCTCCATGTGAAATCTCCACATCCTATCTACTTGTCCTTAACTCTCTCTAAGCTGCTCTCTCTCTCCATCTTCACTACTACAGCCACTGTCCCACCTCTAGCGTGTCTCCCAGCCCTCTGCGATACCCCTTGCCCATCACAGTTATCATTCTAAGCTACAAGGACAGATGTCCTATATTTCAAATTCCTTTCCAGCCCACTGCCTGATGATAAAGTCCACGCTTCTTGCCATGGTCTAAGAAGGTCCTTTGTAATCTTGCCCCTGCCTCTCTGACCTGGCCCCTGCCTTGTATCAGTCCTGCCACCACCCTCCAGCCACACTGTATTGCTTGTGGCTATTCCTTCTACCTGATGCCAGCCCTGCCCTGGCCTGAACTTCCTCAGGCATCACCACTTATGCATGGCTTTCCAGATCCCCAGTCTTCCTCCTCCCCAGCCAGATGGTCCCTCCTCCTCCCTCTTTGGGAATCCTACAACATCCATTCAATTTTTCTGTACTAGAAGTCATTCCATGTGGACACTGTGTACATGTCTGTCTCTCCCGCCAGACTTGGAGCTCGCTGCCAGTGGAGACAGTGATCCTCATGAAGTAGAATTCATGAAGTAGAATTTCAACAAACCTAGGTTGAGTAAATGAAAGATTTTGATGTCCCTTCCACTTTTTAAGATGCGAAGCCTCAAGTCCTCCTTATAATTGGCTCAATTAAGCTTTCTGTTTCCTAGAGTCCTCTGCCCACTTCTTAGACTTAACATTTTCCTTTAATGATCATACCCCTGTTTAGGTTCCAAGGTTAAGGTTCACAAAACTACAACGCAGATGTCTGTAATTACAACATCCCTTGTAAACAGTCCCTTCTTTTGGGCAGGTGCCATGCCACCAAACTCATGATTCCCTAAGTTGGATCCACAGAATCTATGGTTCTACAGCCACACAAGGTGATTAGAAGGTGACCAGAGGAACATAGGTCTGTTCTAAATCCATCCTATGATTTTAAAGTATGTAAGTATGTGATAATGCAAGCAATGACCTCCGGTTTCTAAATTTCAGAGAGAATGGATGGATTTGGAAGGCCCAGCAAATTAAATGAGGCACCCACTGGCAGCTCCACAGGTCTCTTCTTGGGTTAGTTTGGCTCAGAGCCGATTCTTGGCTTCAGCTTTTCAGCAGGGAAGGGACGCAGTGTGTCCTACACTTACCTCTTTAATGTGTAGGAAGTCCTTAGCATCAAAGGAGATGGCTGTGCTTGGGACAGGTACGTCCTCATCCAGGGCGCCACAGTAGCTCACGTTGGTCCTCACAGCAAATGCCACAGGTTTGGACTAGGGGTAGAACCATGGAATAAGGAGTGAAGGAGGGAGGAAGCAAGAGGAGCCTCATTCATATTAAGACTTGCAAAAAGATGACTGACAGTACCAGGCAGTAAGGGAAATCACTTTCCAAAGAGGGACCTCAAGCAGGTTTTACATTCCCAGGCAATATTGAGAAATCTGCAGGGGAGACCCTGAAAATGATCAGTCCTATCAGCCCAACCATTTTTCCTCTCCTGCGGTATTTTTAATATCCCAAATAAAAAATAGTGCCCTAGAATATTAGGAGGGATAGACAGAGGGGGGACCGCCTGCTTTGTTCTCTAGCCATAAAAGCTATGTTTATTTTAAATGATAACAGACACCCTCCTACCTTGGGATATAGGAAATATGTGATGGGTCTTTTAAAAAAGGTTGGGGGAGGGGTAATAAAATAAGAATTTTTGAAATAGTCTCAGAACTGAAAACCTATGTGATCCTACCCAATAGAATACATTGTCCTGCTGGGACAAGAAGGGCCAGTCAGGGTTAAACCTGAGGGACAGGGCTCTTCACACATCATCTTCTCTCTTGTTAACAAAAGCTGCTTTTAAAACTCTTCCTACAAATTTCTCCCCAGAAAAGTGCTCTTGGGCTGGTGCAGCCTTGTGGGGTTAAGCAAACCACCAGCCGAAGCTAATGGTGCTGCCACCGACATTGGAGTGACTACAACGGCCACAAAACAGATACTGAAAGAATGCTTTATAACAAAAATTCACCACAAATGGGACATGAGGTTCCTGAAATTCTGGGTTGCTTTTCACTGGCTTATTTCCTCATGCTGGAAAAACACAGCTGGGGAGCAACAGTTGCGGCAGGACCCGAGTTAGGACCTCACTGATGTCCCTTCACAGACATTGCCAAAACCCGTCTGCCTCTCGCAAAGCACAGGTGCTGTAGGTGTCTAAGCAAATGAAGACACCTCATTCACCTGCACCACTCTCCTCTCACCTCTCTTAAAGATTTTACTGTAAAAATTAAAAGGGAAAGGAGCCTCATTCATATTAAGACTTGCAAAAAGATGACTGACAGTACCAGGCAGTGAGGGAAATCACTTTCCAAAGAGGGACCTCAAGCAGGTTTTACATTCCCAGGCAATATTGAGAAATCTGCAGGGGAGACCCTGAAAATGATCAGTCCTATCAGCCCAACCATTTTTCCTCTCCTGCGGTATTTTTAATATCCCAAATAAAAAATAGTGCCCTAGAATATTAGGAGGGATAGACAGAGGGGGGACCGCCTGCTTTGTTCTCTAGCCATAAAAGCTATGTTTATTTTAAATGATAACAGACACCCTCCTACCTTGGGATATAGGAAATATGTGATGGGTCTTTTAAAAAAGGTTGGGGGAGGGGTAATAAAATAAGAATTTTTGAAATAGTCTCAGAACTGAAAACCTATGTGATCCTACCCAATAGAATACATTGTCCTGCTGGGACAAGAAGGGCCAGTCAGGGTTAAACCTGAGGGACAGGGCTCTTCACACATCATCTTCTCTCTTGTTAACAAAAGCTGCTTTTAAAACTCTTCCTACAAATTTCTCCCCAGAAAAGTGCTCTTGGGCTGGTGCAGCCTTGTGGGGTTAAGCAAACCACCAGCCTAAGCTAATGGTGCTGCCACCGACATTGGAGTGACTACAACGGCCACAAAACAGATACTGAAAGAATGCTTTATAACAAAAATTCACCACAAATGGGACATGAGGTTCCTGAAATTCTGGGTTGCTTTTCACTGGCTTATTTCCTCATGCTGGAAAAACACAGCTGGGGAGCAACAGTTGCGGCAGGACCCGAGTTAGGACCTCACTGATGTCCCTTCACAGACATTGCCAAAACCCGTCTGCCTCTCGCAAAGCACAGGTGCTGTAGGTGTCTAAGCAAATGAAGACACCTCATTCACCTGCACCACTCTCCTCTCACCTCTCTTAAAGATTTTACTGTAAAAATTAAAAGGGAAGGAATTCACTTTATTTGGGCTTCAATTTTTTTTCTAAAATTAGAAAGACAGGATCAAGATGCCTTGGAAGTCTGTCATGAAGGGCAAGGAGGAGAAGGATTGGAAACACATAGAACGGGAGATCTCATGACTCTTCTGGTTCCTGTTGAGGGCAGAGAGGCCCCTGGGGGCCTCTCCCTGTGGAATATCTGAAGATCTACTCTGGCAATGGCTTTTCACTGCTCAACTTTGCTGTACTTCTCAGAGTCCTTCAATGTTCTGAACTTCACACTGCACTTGAGGGGAGAGACTGAAACCAAACCGAGAGAGGAGTGGACAAACCAACAGGCAAAGCCACAGAACAATGGTGCTGTGTGTCATGTGATAAAGGTTCATGTAATGGGCACGGAGGGAACAAAAACAGGCGGGGCAAGCTGGTACCTTAGGAGGCTCTCGGCCAACACTGAGCATGGCAAGCTGGATGTTGGCCACATGCTAAGTTGTAAGATGGCCAACAATTCACCACCAAACCAGACACAAAGGGTTGATGGTTCTCAGGAAATGGCCCCCTGGGGATGTCACTAACCGGTCTTAGCCTTGCAATCTGGAGCCTTATCAGGATGATCCTAAAATGATTATTCCAGAGAAATGTGAGGTGGGGAAGAGCAGCTGGTAGCTGCTGAGCAACAAGCCACTTTTGAACCAAGGGGGCGAAGGAAATCACCTTTGCTCTCTCCAGCTGGATTGCTGCTTGCTGTTCTCTCTCCTGCCGAATCGCTTCCCGGTCCTCTTCCAAAGAGACATCTGAGTCCGACGGCCTGCTTGTGTAGGAATCCGCTGAACCCTGGAAAGGAAGACAGAATAGTTTAAGTGAGGTCATGTGTAGCTTCTTAAATTGTCACAGCCATAACAGCATCCCGTGGTGAGTTCCTTTCATTTGCATAGAATTTGATGCATATACTCTGTG